ATGCTTATTCAGACCTTTTCTGAAGTGTGTAATCACTGTTTTCCGTGTAAAATGCGTGTAGCGGATAGGAAGTGACGAAAACCGTAGGTTACACCCGAAATAATGAAAATGTTGAATCGTAGGGATGTGCTCTATAACACATTTCCCCAAGCTATTCGTGTTTTCAGCTCGGTAACTACTTTAAGGAAATTCCGTTTCCTTCCCGAGCTCCCCAAATCTTCCCGTTTATGTACATAATTAAGGTATACAGAGGTGCATTTTCGAATAGATATATGCTGTTGTCTGATCAAGACGTACATTTTCAAACGCCGAAAGCTTAGCTTATTCGTCCGAGAACGAAATATTTTAAGAACTTCTTCGGGCGGCGTATGAACAATGCGCAAACCATAATTTGTTTCTTCATGTGAAAATGAGTTTAGAGACTTGAACGTTCTCTGCGAATATAAAAATAAAAAAACCAAGTAAAGAGCGCCTAGAACACATGCTTCAAACGGATGATAGAGCATAAGCTATGTGCAGAAGCTATACAGGTTGATTAAGCCTCGGTCCCAATATCACAAGCTTAACGCGCTCATGATACATGATGAGAGCAAAACTTACACGGTGTGTTACGAGCTAAAGCACGTACAGGCTAGAGACCGGGTTTTGGTTGTATGGATGACGATGTTTGATGAGACATGTTTTCATGGTAGCGTCGGATGGTAAGTCCCATCCTGTCTCCACCGAGCGAGTTCGCGGGTTCCCCTTATATAGTCACGGTGACGTGACGACGTTGCGTCACCGGCGGTGTCCTGGCGTAATTGGCGGTGGCTGTTGGTTTCCATGAAGATGAGGTCCAACTGTTGGAGAACGTCCCTGTAAGCGCCGGGATTCGGGCACGTTCTCCTCGGGGTAGACAAGTAGCAGGGGTTAGATAACACGGGTGATAACCACTGTACTTAGTTGATAGCGCTCACTCTGCCAATCTGTGGGACCTAGTGAATATAATTTTAGACAGTGCTTTCCTGCTGTCTTCAAACGACTTGGAAGTAATATCTGCCTCGGAACATTTTAGAAATAGTAAAAGTAACGACGTGCACGGCATTTATATTAAGCCAGCAAATCACGCCATTAGTTCGAATGTTGCTATTTTCCCATACATTTAGAACGGCCTTTTCGAATAGGGTGTTTCCTAATATAATGCAACTGTCTAAGGTGTACGTCCTTTTCAAGACAAGGTATATATTTACATAGCAAACTCCAGTACTGTGCATGTGTTACAACTGTAATATAAAAAGTTTAAAACACACACACACACACATATATATATATATATATATATATATATATATATATATATATATATATATATATATATATCGAAGTAAAAGTTACGGTGACAAGCAACAGAGAGCAGAAGTTTAATAAACAGTTTCGCCGAGAGACTCGGCTTTGTCAGGAGGTAACTTACGAGTGAGGGCATATTGTTGCGGTAAAGTGCAGAACTAGCGTAAGCAACGTGTGCATAGCAACGTGTATATATATATATATATATATATATATATATATATATATATATATATATAAACGAATATGTGCAGATGAATGAACCGTACTTAATCCAATGAATTAAAGAATCCAAGTTTTCAGGAACCCGCCGAAAGCCAAAAATTGGCGGAGCCAGGATTTGAACTCTGGGCCTCCCAATGTCCGGTCGGGTGTGGTGGTTTGCACACCCGACCGGACATTGGGAGGCCCAGAGTTCAAATCCTGGCTCCGCCAATTTTTGGCTTTCGGCGGGTTCCTGAAAACTTGGATTCTTTAATTCATTGGATTAAGTACGGTTCATTCATCTGCACATATTCGTTTATATCCCCCTCGGAGACCACGTACGATGACGTGAAGTGCCCGTGTTGTATATATATATATATATATATATATATATATATATATATATATATATATATATATATATACGATTGTGCTCATTTAAAAAAGAAGCTCCGATATTACCTTTTATCAATTTGGTTTTCTGAAGTGGTACTCGAAAAGTTCGCGCTGCTAAAAGAAAACAAAAGCTATATTCAGCAGCATCAAAAACAAACTGATAACATTATGAATCTTTATTTATTTTACGTCAGCGTTCAATCTCCTTCGCCATTAAACCTTATTATAAAAACTAAGACTCTGTGCCGTCCGGGTGTAGTTTTGAAGCTAATCGAAAGCTATCTACTATATCTTCATTAATATCGCATATTTTAGGGAAAAACCTGAGACTGAGGTATTGACAGACGACCACAAAAAAGAGAAGGAGAACGTCTCAAACACCAGCTAAACCTTTATTGAGAAAAGAACACTTTATATAGGCTTGAAAAAAGAAGGAAGAAAAGGGAACCCTTCCTCACATAACCTCTCTCCACAAAAGACAAGACACCTTCTCTCTCCACAAAAGACACGACACCGGACCTCTAACAATGGGGTCAAACCAACAAAAGAACTGACAGCACCGAAGATGACTCATCATTAAAAAGCAACACGCTGGGAAAACTGCAGATTGCACTGGACCTTTCACTGAGACTACACAAAAAAAATAATGTTAACAATACCATTAAAGATTTAGAAATCGCTTCCATTCCGCATCTAAATCCAAAGATGGCTTGTTCACTGCATTCCCATGCTTCGTTATTGCGATTGACTCCTTCAGCAGGCGCTTGTGGTCGTTTCTTTCTGTTACAATTGCGATTGTCGAGTTCCATAATGGCACGCAATTCTTCCATTCCTGAATATGCTTGAATACCTCGGAATATGTATCCTTGTTTTCGACACATTGTTTATGTTCGCCTCGTCTATTATTAAGACAACGCTTCGTTTCACCTACATAGCACAAACCACTATCAAAGGGGACCTTTTATACTACACCTGAAACACAGGCACCACACTTTTTCCTCTGATTTTTTAATCAACCTTTCTGGGCAGAAGCGAAAGGAGTCAACCGTTTCAAACTAATCTCTGTGCTAGACGTCATGCGTAAACCAAACTTATCAGCGACTGATTTTAGGTTGTTTGAAACCTCATGGAGGAACGGTGTGACTACAAACTGGTTTGTGCTCTGGCATTTTCCGAATTTTTTATGCTTTGCGACAGGGTACGAAAGCTGGTTAGAAATAAATTCTAGAGGATATTTTCCATCAATAAGCCGGGAAAACACAACGTGAATAGACTTCATAATAGTGCCAACATGACTTTTTAACCGCGTTGTTTATTCATTCATTAATATGTTGAGAATGAAAGCGAACCCTCAAACAGGCGCCTAACTTAAGGCAGATTTTCTGCAAAGGAGTATTCTTGTGCCTTCTTTCCATTTTTTAATGAATGATATAGTTTGGATATTAACGTCAACTGCGTATTATATGGAGATGAAAATAGCACAATTTTTTACGATGGGACACTCAGCTCATACAGAAAGGGAAACCAATTTTTAGACAGCTTATATACTTGGACAATCTCAAACTCATTAGCAAGAAATGTCGCAAAAACCGAGGTCGTATTTTCCGACCAATAAATACGCGCTTGCGCCTACAGTGGCCAGCCTCTTTTGGTTCGCGCAATGTTGAAATCGTGAAAAATGAGGTTCATGTCGTAACCTTTAATATGGTTACGACATGTAGCTATGACGATGAGGCTGTCAAAAGTTCTGGGCTTTTCTATAAAAACCGTCACATAATTCCAACCTCTGTAAATTTACTTATATGCAGTACTCCGTTTTACTTTGTTACTTATAATTGTTTCTTGTTGTGGGTGACCACTACGAAAATTCATTGTGACGGGCTTTTTGTACTGTGAAATAGGCACTTCGAATCATGCGTAATCTGGCGTGTAATCATCCAAAGAAATTGCTGTTCAAACACCTTGCTATATCGAGAAAAAAGTATTGCAACTATAAGCTCCTTATATTATGAGGTTCTTACAAAGTTCCAAGAGCTTATATTATTTGATATCCTGCTTGGAGTCCCATGTCTCAGCATATGGCGCCTGTAAGTCCTGGACTTGGTATGTACCCCGCTCAAGGACCAATAGACCGATCTCACCAAGCGTTCCCTTACAAAAATCTGTATGGACACTCCTAGGACGTTCTATAGAGCAGCGTCCATAGGCAGGACACAAGGCATCTATAGGGAGACCACACATGCTTTTGCCTCTATGTAGTCGTCCTATGGCTGCCGTATAGAATATTGGCCAACGGACGTTCTATGGACGTCCTATTCTATTGACCATGTGAGGTCATCCTATACCCTCTCTGGGGTAAGACACCACATAGAGTCCACACAGACTCTATAAGGTGTCTACACAGGAACTATACGGAGTCTATAGGGTGCCCGCAGAAAACCTATACGAGGTCTACATGAAGTCTGCCGAAAAGCCACATAGGGTCTACATAGAATATTGGCCAACGGACGTTCTATGGACGTCCTATTCTATTGACCATGTGAGGTCATCCTATACCCTCTCTGTGGTAAGACACCACATAGAGTCCACACCGACTCTATAAGGTGTCTACACAGGAACTATACGGAGTCTATAGGGTGCCCGCAGAAAACCTATACGAGGTCTACATGAAGTCTGCCGAAAAGCCACATAGGGTCTACAAAGAATCTAAACAGGGTCTACAAGGAGTACCTATGGGGTCCACAGGGAAGCCATACAGGGTCTACATAGGGTCCTTATGAGGTCTGCAGGGAAGCCATACAAGGTCTACAGGGAGTCCAAACGTGGTCCGCAGGGAAGCCATACAGGGTCTATACAGGGTCCTAATAGGGTCTGCAGAGAAGCCATAGAAGGTCTACAGGGAGTACCTACAGGGTCCGCAGGGAAGCCATACAGGGTCTACACAGAAGCCATAGAATGTCTACAGGGAGTACCTACAGGGTCTACACAGGGTCCTTATGGGGTCTGCAGAGAAGCCATACAAAGTCTACAAGGAGTACCTATGGGGTCTGCAGACCCACATACATCTAAGGGAAATGCTAATGTATATATACAACAAAAAGGAGGATCAGTTGTGAACTATTTATTTTACATGTCTTGCACCGGGCATCTGTCACCTGAAAAGAGAAAAAGAACATTTTGGTATACCAGGTAATACCATGAAGACAACATCTCAGAAAGCATGGAATGGATGTAATGCGGTTACTACAGTGACAGTGATGCTAGCAACTTGTTTGAAAAAAAAGCAGAAATTAATAGAGCCAATAATTTGTCAACTTGCTACTTATACGAATCATCTCATCAACAATTCAGTATTTATGATTCCTTCATATATGATACTGCAAAACCCATATTTTTTGCTAATTCTGGACACCTAATTTGGTGTGTTTTTTCAGTTTTATAAAATGCTTGCAAACTTTAAAGGAACACTGAAATGTAAAAAAAAAACTTTTTTATGGCTTAGAACAAACAAGTATAATTAAAAATAAATCCTACACAGGGAAAAATTTTCCATCGCATTATTTATGTCTTGAAACATAATTTTGGTAGAGGTCACGGGCCGCTGTGAGTCCGCCCACAAATCAGCGACCCCGCCCATTACCATTGGCTAAGCGGCCGAACAAGCACGGAAGCCAAAAGGCTCTCTTTCAAGGCTTCGGGCTGCAAGTTCTACATCGTCTGCTAATGTCTTCACCAGCCTGCGGCTACCAAACGTGCACGGCACGGAAAAACAATTTTACAGTTAAAATTTGATACGTCAATCTCCCCTCCGACGAATGAGATGAGAGAATTGGTGCTTAGGTCAACTAAGCACATTTCTGAAGGGCAGAGCTTAGAGTGCGGCTACCTCCATCCTGCCCCACCAAAATTGAATCTTGCGGCATAAATATGCAACAAAATATTAGTTTTCGCGTGCAAGATATATTTTGAATTATGCTTGCTTTTTCTAGGCCTATTAAAAAAATTTTTTTTTTAATTTAGTGTTTCTTTAACGGTCTACTGAAAAGGAAAAATAATGCTTTTTTTAGTCAATCCGGTTGAAACGTATGTAAAAAAAGAAATTTACGTGAAAAAAAAGTTTTTTAGAGCAATATTAATGGCGCGAGATTTATGTTAAATTTTGTGAGCAAAGTCTGTGACGTCAGCGAATGATGATACACTCTTTCCACCTCAATGAGATGGTCAGAGATTCTATCCACCTCAACATGATGGCCCAAGGTGATCCATTTCTCCTCCACCCATCCAAAATGCCGAGAGAAGACAAGTGTAAAGGAGGTGACTACTGACTAAATCGCGTCTTGCGCCATCAATATAGCTCTACAATCTTTTTTTTTTTTTGCGCGTAGAGGTTATTTTTTGACACGCGTGTCCCCACAAGACTGCGTTGTGGTGTTTTTTGCGTGTCCATGACTATAACTTGCATCAGTTAGACAAAAAGAAACGACCTTTGGGGTGTCAAACATTTTAAGGCTCTTACATATATAAAAAAAACATCAAGGATAAATTCATTCAGCACTTCCACTCACCTCACTGGGAAAAATTGTGTTTCTTTGCAAGGTACGAGGCCACGCTGGCCTTCACTGCCTCTTCTTTGTCCCCAAAGATCTTGCATGTGTACGCTAAAAAATAAAATAAATATTAGTTTGTTATTTAGTTATTGTTCCCTAAAGATGCAAACGTATGACACAAGGGGAGAACAAGGTTAAATTCACTGAAATACTACGTTAAGCAGACTTCTCGAAGAGGTAACTATACTGGACCATTTAAAAAGGTGCAACGTCTGCAATGATTTTAACTAACACAAAAAGGTGGTTCTATACTGTCTCACTAAAACCGTGCAGTACAGCCAAAGCCACAGCCCTCGTGAGACAATTAAAGAAAGCTGTTCACTCTTCGCACTGGCTTATGAGGGCTGTCAGTCTTCTGGTTGGCTTTAGGCCAACCAGAAGACTGACTTTCGCTCTTCCCACTGGCTTACGAGGGTTGTAGCTTTGGCTGCACTGCACGGTTTTTGGCGAGACAGAGTATAGTCCTGGGATCTACAGGGAATAAACAAAAGGTTGGTGTTAGAAGTTGGAATGCCACCTTGTGCTGTTGATCAAGTGACCAAAATATATTAGAGAAATTATTGCTGTGAAATTTTTTTGGGCATAGACTAATTCCTATAATGTAGTCCTGCTGCAATAATAATAATTACCAGCATCATGTTGCACGTCGAAAATGCAAAGAATGAGCATTATGCATGGATTCGTTTACTTAGTTGAATACTTCTCTCCAGAACACACGCAAAAAAACCAAAAGCTCCACAACAGTTTAACACACCATGAAATGTTCAAAAGCATAATTATACCAATACATAAGTTACTAATCATTAGTGGAATGTCCTGAAAGATATAGATATTTTTTTAACTGCCAAGATTTTGTTTATTTTAGTAATTTGGGACGTATCACTGGTCAAAATAAAATTTCAAGTGAAATAAAGTAGTGCCAGCCAAAGAAAGTAGCAAAGGTTTGCAATGTATACCACGCAGTCATCATTGATGCATGATGGAAGCAAACAGCCACATGTGCCAAAATTTAATGAAAGTATGTCCGGAATCATGATGCATTAAAACTGTCATGATGTTGCTAGCATACTTACCGGCTTTTAAAGTCAAGTAAAACTGGATTACAAAGTCACCAGGAGGTAAAAGCTCAAACATGATCACCAATGTCAATTAAGTTACACAACTGCCATACACTTCTAAACCGCCAGATTTGTTTCCAAGCTTTTTTTTGAGCACGTAGATTTTCTGAAAGGAAACATGTGTAGGTTAGAAATTCTTTTAATAAAGCAAAGCTCTTTAAAACATAAGGTACAGTTAGCATTAATAAAATTAGAGACAGGTGTAGGTATTTAGCACAAAGATTTCCGTAGCAGGCTAAAACACAGCACCATTGTCTATCTTACTAGTTGTCTTGAGTGCTAGCGAAGTTATGTTTGCAAGCATATGGCTTTCAGAAAGGTCTTCTCTGTGCATATGCTTGTGCAAACATTGTATTCTGCTAAACATGGTTAAAAGAGCATATATGACATAAAATACACAGAAGGAATGGACAAACCAGAGCGCTGGAGCTCCTCAGAACTTTGTCCTGTCAGATTTGTCTCTTCCTTTTGTGTCATTTGTGCACTGTTTCAACCATGTTTATTGTATACCAACTCACACAGCTCACCATTTGCTACATTGCATTCTGCTGAGTCACACTCTCAAGCCCATGTCTTTGCTAGCGCCGTAGACAACTTGTAAAATAAAGTACAGGGGTAAAAGGCCCCAAGTCAATTATTAGGCATAGTGTATTGTCTAAACCAGGGGTGGCCAAGCTGCGGCTTTCCCCGTGTTAAAGTGCGGCTCGCCGCCCCCTCCCTTATCTTTCCTCTCCCCCCCTCCGGAGCACTTCCCCTAAAAGAGAAATGAAACGCGTTTTAAATCGAAAGACAGGTTGCGGTTTGGTAATGTTGTGCTACTGCTGCCTTACGCACAATTGGACGGCTTTTTACTCAGTTAGACCGAAATTAGTTCGAGTTTCGTTTATTGCTCTAAACAAAAATCGGCCTCCCCCCTCCCCGCGGCTCTTGAAATGTTTGTGATTTTTTTTGCGGCTCTTAGGCCGGGTCAGCCTGGCCACCCCTGGTCTAAACGGATGAGCTGAAGAAAAATACTAATTGCAACAGTTCCGAACATACCAATCACTGCATTAACTCGTACGGGGTCCAGCCCTGGTTTTACTGTATCCTCCTTTTGTGCATTGCACTTTTTGCCAAAGAGCGAGTGGCCATTGAGCTCCTCATCTGAAAACACAATGGTTAGGAGGCCCCTTGCGAAAGGCCCAGGACTTGTCTCCTTTCTTTTTAGCTGCTCTAACAAATTTTCATCCACATGAACGTTGCTTCCAATGTCCACCTTGAAGGAAAAAGAAAAAGAGGCGTCAACAGCTTGGCACATTTCACTTAAATACCTAAAGTTGATATGCAAGCTTCCTCGATTTTAGAAGTTGTATACATAGGTTGCACCTGACGCCATTTGGTCCTCCTTTCGGGTGGACAAGCTTCCTCAAGCATAGCCTTTAGTGTACCTAGTCTACAAACATTGCGAGCGACCAGAAATGAGTAAGCAGGCTTCTGCCAACAGCAAGGACGAAGGACATGACGTCACATGCAACCAGTGTATAAGAATGCACATAAGCAAGGCATCTGCAACAACCACATAAAACTGCTATTTCATGATAAGAAAATTTTAATACCATGCAATTGATCGTTAGATCTTTCTAGCATTTGAGGGATCCAGTTGGTCAACTATAGTAGTTCCGAGGCTCCGCCTCATCTTACAATATTTTGCAGAAAATGCTGCCAGCCACCACGGAGCCAACCCAACACTTTTAGCGTGCCACATGACTGTGTTCCATGCCCACCTGCTTCCAACGTGGAAGTCATGTGGCACCTTCTAAGCGGTGTATTGGCTCCAATGGCTTGTAATTTCTACTGTGGTATACTGTAAGGTAAAACAGAGTATAAGTTAATGCAAGTAAGTAGGCATTAGACGACAAGGAGACTTTTATTTTAATTAGATACAGAAACTTCACGTTGCGACTGTTACACCTTTTGCTGTAGCTAATTTCCAAGAGGGCAACTTCGATGGAACTAAAACGCTTGCACACTTTAGAAAAGCTCGTTAGTTTTTTTACAATGTATGTGCACTGAGCGAAAGTTAGAATGAGTGTGACATCCATGTTTCTTTGCACTTTTGTCACACCAGTCATTTACAATTATAAATGGTCCCTTCGTATATTGGTGGCTTTAAAGGGAAGCTGAAACAGTTTTAAAAAAAAATTAGATAGAGATTCATTATAGCATAGTTTTATCCTGTGAATCTGAATATCACGTTTGTTTTTCCCGAAGATGTTACTAAACGCGAGAGAACACGAAAAACCTCTGACCAGTCGTGACGTCGTAAGAGGACCATTTGGTTGCCAAGCGCTCGTCGCTCGAGGGCCGCACGTGTAATCGCAAGCTGGCCAGGTATATTCCCCCGTACACGCATCAGTCGTGACATCTCTGCCCTTCTTAAAAATAGCAAGAGTGCCCATACATAGCTTCGATATACGCTGAAGATGCGCGCGAGCGGAGATTCTGAAAACTCCTTTTGCGACGTCACGCTCCAGGAAGGAGGGCCTTCAGCGGTATTTTGAAGATAATTTTCTGCAGCCTTCATACACAAACTTAAAAAAAAATAACCTCGATATTCGAGATCTTGGAGGTCAACGGAAAATGATTTAAGTGTGTTTCCTCAGATACAAAACCACCTCAGCTTCCCTTTAACGAGTGCTTTCCGCCACACTATTTGCATTCTTGGGAGGTTTTCAATTTAAAAAGAAAATAAACTGGTGGTCAAGCAGCCCAAACAAAAGATTGTTTGTTTTTGCTGTTCTTCTATTTATCTTAAGTGAAATGTTGCCATGGATTGTACTATACTCCGTCTCACCCTGCGATGGTCTAGGGCCCGAAGGCTGGCGGGCCGGGCACTACCTCAGAAAAGCTTGCATCCACATTGCGAAAGAGTGCGCGAGAGAAATTCCGACACGCAGAACACGAAGTGCACTAATCTTACGGATATGGTTCTCTGTTATGATAGCGTGCTATTTTACATTGGTGAAGTAAGGGTATATGGTATTTAGTTCCATAAACATTATTGCCATATTTTGTAAACATGTCAACCATTTCGAAAAGTTGAACGGCGCGCAGGCAACGCTGACATAAAGTCGTTTAGCCTTAGCCATAACAATCCAACCCAATCTTAGTGTACGTACAGCTGCAACGGAAAAAGAGTAGCACAAGTGGCTGACGCCCGGATCGGCAAAATCACGACGCAAGGCGCTATTGTTCCCAAGCTTGCCGATAGCGAGATTGCCAGTCACGTTCCATGTCGGCCAACGCGGGGGTGGCCGACAGGAAGCAGCCTATCCTAAAGCCCGTATCTCGAAAGCTATCTTATCCCTTAATTTTCTGCTGGCCACCCCCACATTGAGATATTGAACGCGCCTGGTACTCTCGTTAATATAGGAGGGCTCCGAAACAATAGCGCCGCGTTTCGCCATTTGTCTGCTCCGGTTATCGATCACTTGTGCCACTCTTTTTCCGTTGCAGCTGTACATACACAAAGATTGGTACGGACCATGTGTGTATGTGCGCACATGGTCCGTACATACGCTATCGTGTCAAACACTCTATCTGACTCATATTCATTTTTTAATGGCCACTGGTTCTGATCCCAGGTTCCCTCTGCCAAATTGCTTCCACACGGTATTTAATCCCTTCAGTAGTCTTTGGTAGTGGCAAGCAGACGGAGCCGCCGCGGGGGCTCGATAAGCAGACAAAAAACTTGCCTCCGCATGACGCGTCTTGGCGCACCGATACGTATGACAAAGCAAATATACCACGTGGTTTCTAAAAGGCTCGTGGTTGGACCCGGCGGCCTGTAGCATTGGGCTTTAGACCATCGTAGGATGAGACGAAGTATAGTGTTTAGACCATGCTCATTTGGGGCACCAACTTGGATAGTAAGATATAATGTCTATATCCAGCCCAAGTAAAATGCAAAAACCACAGATGTGTTCACATAACAGTACTGCAAAGTGTACATCCCATATTGGTAGATGCGTTTCAATAGCCTTTCTTGCCTCTATGCATATGCTGCTAACGGTGACAACAGTAAAGCTATTAAATAAAACAAGGCAGGCCAATGGTGCTGGCAACAATTATCAAATCAATGTCGCGCCCAACAGATGACTAACCAAGGTGGTTCCCACCAGGTGCTCCTTACAGCTTATTTACAACTATTCAAAGCTTCAGATATTAAAAGCAACGGTCGATAATTCCTTACAAAAAGAATGGGCAGTCAAGTGTGATAAACCTTCCAGGATTCAAGGTTGTAGATTTTATGGTGGTTGGCCTACTCAAAAATGATTTTCAGCCCATATATTTATCGTTTTAAACAAGGCATATGTCTTCGGTAAACAAAAATGAAAAAGTTGGTGCACCACGAGCATGTATTGAAAGAAAAAAAAATTTAGTAGGTTTGTCTCCCACAGGTCGTGCCCATGCAAACAACTGGAACTTCACATAAGCTCCCTCATTTCAAACTCTCAGCTGACGATTAAATTGCAATGACACTGGTATTTTGCATGCATACAAGGTAGCACATGGCCATGACTGACTGTATCGAAACATTACTGTGATGTCCATGCACTGTATGCCACATGCCGAGCTAGACCTTGAATTGGTTGCCATGTTTCATTGGACATACTGATATGCCGGTCAGTAAGCATGTTCATTTCTCGATGCAAATCAGTCTAATGCTACCGTGTGAATAGGAATTAGTGTTTTTAAAATATTAAAAAGGAAACTGGGCAATTTATTTCTTACGAGGCAAAAAAAATATAGAATAAAGAAACATTCAATTTATGTTCAATGTCCATTTAAGACACTTGGCCCTGAGCCCCATATTAGACTCATGAAGTTCTCAAACAGTGTTTCCAGTAAAACTGCTCGATCCAAATAAATTAAGTTGAACATACCAGTACTGCGGGAATGACGTTCGCTACAGCAAATGCTGGGTGCGCCGGAAGCTGCTCAACAAGCACCTGCAGAGATTTCTTCATACGCCTCGCCATTTTTGGGAGGTCTGGAAAGCAGTAGAGTAACCATCAATTATTTGATTAGAGACTAACGAAGAGAGACAGTCGCTGTCCCCTCCTCCCAGATATTTCGGACTGTTAAAGAAAGCAATACGGGGAAATAGGGCGTGGTCGAGCTTATTTTAATCTGAAATTATTTATGCATATGTAGAGCGACTGTCGCTCTTCACTGAATTAAAGATTGTGTAGATGGTCATTGTTAGAGACTCGTTGTTAGAAGGCACTACTCGTCACATGCTCAGTGGCTCGGAAGTTCAAAGCTATGTCTTTTCGTCCTAAATACCTGTGCCAATAGTAAAAAAAAAAAGAATAAATGCGGGGATAAAAAGCTGGTGAAAAAAAAAAAACTATCAAGAATTCGCCGGAGGTGTTGTATTCTTGCATATTCAGAGGTTCAGAACATCGGAACAATCTTCTTTTACCAAAATGTGTACAGGCTAAAAGAAACACGTCCCAGGAACGTGAAGCGAAAAAACATTTTTTTCTTTTAATGACGTGCTGAACTTGAACACTATTAGGAATCTTCTCCCATCAGTTAATTTATTCCTTAATGTGAAAAAACAATAAATACATTATTTTGTATTCTGCAGATGGCAATGATATGTACTGTCTGTGGTGTTAATTCAAATGTGATACCTCAAACAACTTAAACAAAAATAAATATCAAGTTTAAGGCAAAACAAAATGCCCAAATGAGTCAGGTTTTTTTTTTTTCTCGTACTTGGAGTAGATTTATAATCTTAATGTGCAAATGAAACTAGTCAAATACATATTTGAGGTAAGTTTGAACTAGGTGCGTTCAGTCGCTGATTGTTGACGGACCATTCATATTAGTTTGAACTTTATTTTGAGACACTCAAAAATAAGCGGCTCAACATATGGAGTTTAAACTTGCCTCGAACATATATTGTACTAGTTTCATTTATTCATTAAAAATTCAAATCTCTACCTGATGATAAAAAAAAATTAAGAACTGGTTAATTTGAGAATCTGGGCATTCAAATTATTTTTTTTTGCACTTGTATTGAGATTTACATTTTTAATATGTAAATCTGACCAGCACGACGTATTCGACGCAAGCTTCTACTTGATGCGTCGAAACTCGACGCATCAAGTTGAAACTTTATTTTGCAACAGCCTGTAGGTTATGATTCAAAATTACTAAGGCCATACCAAGTCCAGCTTCCGCCCGAGTCAGCCTTTCCTCGGCTAGGATCCGCTGGTCCCGAAGGTTTGCATTTTCCCTTTCTAGGTCAGCGACCCGTTTCTCTAACTCCTCAATCCTCTCGGCCTAGTTGCAGCAGCATTTTTGAAAAAAAAAATTATGCTTTTATTTTAAAACCTGATCACCTACATTCGGCGACAGCTTTTCTTGGCATTTCCGGGGAGAGGAGGAGGGCTTGCGCACAGCTTTATTCAGCGTTCAAAATGGGAGTTGGAATGCGTGCCTGTGCCTTCCACGGCATTGGCAAGAAAAGTTGTCACCGAGTATACCGTAGACTACCATGCACCCTGCCCATTCCACATTAAGCGCCGATATCCAAATTTTTAAAAGCTGAGAAAATATGCACAGTACATTTATATGTAAAATTTATGACCGGACAAGCGCCCATTCCCCCTTTTTTCGCGATTATCTCTAAATTTTGAGTGGGCGCTTGCCCGGTATTTTACGGTAGCTGTTTGTTCTAAAGCGTAGGCCTTACAAATTCAAATAAGGACATATGAACTGAACTGAAATAGCAAGTCAAGCTTAATTACAAGACAACAACACTTTAAGGTTTGATTTAATATGTCACCAGAACTTAAAATAACTGAAAGCTGAATAGGGCTATAAATGATGATGGTGATGGTTCATGCAGTGTGTTCCTTTGCAGCTATGCTAAAGTCACAACCACAGTGCTGTGGTTCGGCATATTTTCTCCAGCTTCCCAATGGCAGCAACTATCATTTCCGGAATTTTCAAGAAACTTCTATTTTAAACAGCAATTGAGCTTGAAATCCACCCTATTACGGATAAGTCTGCCAGCATTGAAATGCTTCGCCCACTAGAAAATAGGTCAAGGTTCGGCGGGTAATTCAGAAATTTGAGTTCTCTGATTCGGATAACTGGGACGAGGCAATGGAGCATTCTGCATAAAATCCTCATCATAGAAATCAGTGTACCCAATGCTGACAGCACAAAATTGCAGAAAAAAAAGAAGAAATAACGAGATAGCAAAGGTAAAACAAGAGCTTGAGCTCTCGGACTGCTTCAGGGTGCCCTTTCACATGCTCCAGAGCAAAGAAGAGAGACTCGTAATACAAAATGGTGTATAGGATGTATTTACGCACGGCTTGCGAGCAGTGCATCCTGGAAAAAGCGCCATCTTTGCGTCATGTTAGCAGACAGCTGCATCGGCTAGGAATTGCAGGCCGATTCAATTCGTCAATTCTTCCCCATGTCTAGCACAGTTACAATGTCGTCGTCAAGCAGTTCTTCATTGGCTCTTTTGGCCCAAATTAAAGAGGACGGGAACATACACTAAGAGGAGGAAGTCTAAATTTGTTTTCGTTTGCTCGACAACCGAGTTAAAATGACCGATATTCAGGATTACCTGATACTAAAGGCAAGTGCTTTTTTCACATGCAAGCAAGTGAAGGCTTACAAATGATATTTGCGTAAAGCCTGTATTGCATGTAGGCCACTTAACGAAGGAAAGACTGAGTAACTGCAATCGATTACTGTCACCCGTCTCATGCTCGGTTCTAGATTTGTCAAAAACTTCGCTCATCGCCTGGAACGAACGCATACGTGCGAAAATACGAGGTCGCTTTCTGCGACGAGACAATGTGAATGGTGCCCAGGAATCGGCATGAAAGATGTGACCGTTAATCTCTAGAAGCATGTACAGTATGCTCACGGCACTTAGATCCTGCAGCCGAGCGACGATAGGGGTCAAATCACTTGTAAAATCGCCAATACAGGTTTTCCGTAAATGTTTTTTGTAAGCCTTTACTTGCTCGTGCCCGAGAAGAACACTGGCCTTTAGCATCAGGTGGTTTCCACTTGCAGTCAAAGCTAGCCGTCTCAGATGAGATCCTTCGGCTGTCGAGCAAACAAATCCATGCTGTAAATTTCTACATTCTCCTCCTATACTCTGTTTCACCTTGTGTTGTACCGAAGGAAAGGCTACAAGCGCGAGCTCCTTGCTCTAGGGCACACCTCGGCGGCACAAGCTCTCGTGCACCGAGGACAGCTGCCAACGCTACGAGCTCCCGCATCTAGGCTTCGCTGCAGTACAACATAAGGTGATACGGAGTATAGCGTATGCCCCCCGTCCACTTAAACTTAGGCCAAAAGAGCCGATGGAGAACAACTTGACAAAGATGACACTGTAACTTAGCCGGACGCAAAGACGAATTGTTGGAGGCAGCTCGGTCAGAGCAGTACAACTGCACGGGTGCGGCCAGGAACACCCAGCCGGCATGGCAGCTGCCGCTATCTGCTAACAGGGAAGCAAGGATGGCGCTGTTCTCAGAATGTACCGCTCGCAAGGCGTGCGTAAATAATCCCTATAGCTTATGCTCCACAGTTCACTTAAAGTGATGCGGAACCGAAATCTGGATTCCACAAAACACAGCGGCAAAAGTGTGCAACTGGATGCTACAAACACCAAAACATCACTCATACAACAACATCTCGAACAGATGACCGTATGTTTCTAAAAAGAAAGCGCATTTGACAGATTTCTTTACATCTTGTTTCTCCGAAGTAGAGGGAACTTCCTCACGCCTTCCCCGCCTCGTGGCCTTGAAGGGGAAAAGCGAAGAGAGAAGAAAATGAGATCGCCTCGTCGGCCTGGTTCAATCTCGACCTCTTTTTCCAAACATACGGCCGTCCATTTGAGATATCACCTTATGAGTAGTGTTGTAGAGATTGTAGCGTCCCGCCTACATTTCCTGCATTGTTTTCTTGTAATCCAAATTTCAGTTCACCATCCCTTTAAGGGAGAATGAAGTATGTATATAATGGCTTAAAGGGGCCCTGGAATCATATGTACGAGTCTAACATTTTCGCGGTTTCCACAACAAGCAAGCCACAGTAACTAAATATCAGTGTGACTTATTTTAACTGGACGACGCAGAAACCTTCTCCACCTATGGGGGTGACCTGCAGTGCAGAAACTGCGCGATATACGACGTCTTTGGTCCTGGGCTTACAACTGGTCAGAGCCGCTAAAAGCTCCTCTTTAGTCGAAACACAAAATTTAACTGGTGCGAACCATTTCACTTATTTAGAAAAGTAGTTGTTCACTATTTTAGATCAGAAAAGAAACAAATGCAGTTCATAAAGTACGGTAGCAAGAAATGATCCGTCGATATACCCGCCACCAAGCGGTGGGAAATACTAGAAAAGGATAGTGGGATCAGGCAGCAATGAGCGGCAAGCGTAGAAAGGTCACGGATGTACGCGGCAGCGCTGTGCTCGTATACAGGCTCGAGGGTCCAACCGGTTCCGAGCGTTCCGAAGGCCTTCGGCGAGAAGGTTCGGCTTGCGGTATGGCCGTACAGCAGCGCGAAGTGGCTCCCGTTCTGAACTGATCTCTATCCCGTGTTTGCTGTCATTTCTGACCAATGAAGTGTCATGCCAAATTAGTGTGTAATCGCGCAGCAAATGCAATGCGAGCCGCCCTGGCTGCCCACTTCATACAGCCTATCCAGAACATGCTTTAGAGGGGCCCTCTCGAGCCGTCGACAGGGAGTGGGGCAGCTGTGAGCGCTCGCTGACCTTAAGGTCACGGCCACTCAAGCGACCAAGGATGTCATGAAGGAGGTTATTTTTTGCCTGTTTTTGTAATTTTAATTTGCCCATAACTTTTAAAATAAACCAAAATTCAAGAAAAGTCTTATTAAGCTACTACGTTCAGTGCGCTCAGGTGCGGTGGAAATTAAAAACCACAAAAAAAAGCCCTCGCAGGACTTCTTCAAAGGGGCCC